AGAGAGAGAGAGAGAGAGAGAGAGAGAGAGACAGACAGACAGACAGACAGACAGACAGACAGACAGACAGACAGACAGACAGACAGACAGACAGACAGACAGACAGACAGACAGAGAGAGACAGAGACAGAGACAGAGACAGAGAGATATGTTGAGGACTACTTTTACCTTTCTATTATCCCAGGAGGGAAAGAAAGCACATTAACATTTATACAAAGGATCATTTAGTTTAACTAAGCTTGTATTCCTATATTTGAAAGACTGAGCACCCTTTGAAATTTGAAAATTCTCTGTTGAACACCTGATTTCCACAGCACTGTCATGCCTAGGGATATTTAGCTATGTAATAAGACTGTATTGCTATGATCCTTCTCATTTGTTCCACTACCTTCTCTTATTGGTATCATTATTATGATTATTATTACTTTGTTTTTTGCATGCACACTGAGAGCTTCTGCACCAGAGACAAATTCCTTGTGTGACTAATCATACTTGGCCAAATAAAGTATTCTATTCTATTCTATTCTATTCTATTCTATTCTATTCTATTCTATTCTATTCTATTCTATTCTATTCTACTCTACTCTACTCTACCCTACCCTACCCTACCCTACCCTACCCTACTCTACTCTACTCTACTCTACTCTACTCTACTCTACTCTACTCTACTCTACTCCACTCCACTCCACTCCACTCCACTCCACTCCACTCCACTCCCTTCTATATTGTCCTTATTCTCTGAATTCTTCTTTCTGTGATCAGTTTGTCAGAGCCTGAAGATTACCCGTCAATCTTTGTCAATCTCAACCATAGTTTCACCTTCTCACCCTATTGGCTGACCTCTTCACTGTGCCGGTTAGTAATATTGGCATGATAAGAACTGAGTGTGGAACTAAAGGGGCTATTGCAGTGTATTTCAAGGAAACCAGAAGTCCATTTTCAAGCTTAAGAAGACCACCTTGTTCATTCTTTGACCACATTTCATACTGGGGGGGAGGGGGCTGCTTCTGCATGCAGATGGTCAATGTCCTAGATTGTCAACGTCCTAGACTGTCAACGTCCTCACTCCCTTCCCCAAGGATTGCAGGGATTCCCTGCTTGAAACACCAACACCCCCCAAACACACACACACACACACACATTTTCCTGCTCCTGATTCCCACGCTTTGCAAGGTACTGGCAAATTCTTCCCGTGCAGGATTTCCCTTGTGTTGCTCTTGGCCTGTGTTGCTGCGCAACAGAGGCACCAATTGTTATTTCAGTCTCTGCTGTTTTCCTCTGCTTCCTTTTTCCTCAGCCAGGCTCCGGAGAAATAGTCTCCACAATCCTCCTGCTGCTACGGCTGTTTAGGAAATCAAAAGCTTTCTCTCCTCTCTCTTCTGTCCCTGTGTTCACCCAACATGCTGAACCAGGTTTTATCTTAACCAGTTTTGGGGGGGACATTGCATAAGGCCTTGAATTGTAAGCTACCCCAGGTTCATATAAGACACGACACTCCCAGAAACCTGCCTCCAGATTCCCTAAATAAGCTCTAAAGCAGGGGTCTTCAAACTTGGCCCTTGGATGACTTGTGAACTTCAACTCCCAGAATTCCTCAGCCAGCATGCCTGGCTGAGGAATTCTGGGAGTTGAAGTCCACAAGTCATCCAAGGGCCAAGTTTGGAAGACCCCTGGAGTCTAAAGCCGTGTTTTTTGACCTTGGCACCTTTAAGGCGGGTGGGACTTCAACTCCCAGAATTCCCCAGCCGGCTGGCCATCTTAAAGGTGCCAAGGTTGAAAAGCACAGCTTTAGAACGTTATGCAGATTCACTGCTGCCTCTTGAATGGACCTGCTTTCGTGGGTTGTGTGAACACAGCCTGTGTGAGGTGAGCCACTGTGAGCCACTGTGTGAGGTGAGCCACTCTTTCAATCAGGAGGCAGATGAAGTAAGCTTTGACTGTTCTTTCTTTCCAACTCCCCAATCAGCTGGGACTTGTTTTGGGTTGTTTTTTTTTTAAAAAAAAAACTCAGAATATTTTACGATAATTGCACAGCCTAGTAAAAGCCCTTTCTCCTCCTCTTCCCCAACTCATTTCCTCTAACTCCGCCCCCTTCTGTTAACTCATCCAAGGGTTGTTATAATAAACTTTCCACTTCTTTGCTCTTCATAACAGTCGCAGAGTGTCCTGAATTCCAGGAACATTTGTTATATTCCCATCCTGCATCTGAGCTGGGCTGCAGCTTCTCTTCGGAAGCAGAGACGAAACCGAGAAAATTAAGCCAAAAACTTCTAATGAGGACTTTTAAGTCAGGAAAATCGCTTTGATTTGTTGGTGAGTACAACGGTCTTTACATTTTGTTAAATAGCCCTAAACTGGAAAGCCCTGGAGGTGGTGCTTTGATTTTTAGAATAATAGTAAATCTTGATTTTTCACATTGGTCTGCTTCAAAGTTATTCCCTTTTGGCATCACAGCCCTTATTCCGTTTTAAGATTTAAGGTAAAAGATTGACGGTATTTTCCTAATGTTTGACTTTCTCTACCAGACTGTCATATGTAGGATGTCCAAGGCATTCTGCCATCCTTTCCTGCTTGCCTAAAGCAAGCCTGACTGTTTAATTTTCTCTAGACTCAATCAGAATAGAGCTGGAAGGGACCTTGGAGGTCTTCTATCTAGTCCAACCCCCTGCTCAAGCAGGAGACCCTATACCATTTTAGACAAGTGGCTGTCCAGTTTATTCTTAAAAGCCTCCAGTGATGGAGCACCCACAACTATTGACGGCCAGCTGTTCCACTGATTAATTGTCCTCACTGTTAGGAAGTTTCTCCTTAATTCCAGGTTGCTTCTCTCCTTGATTCATTTCCATCCATTGTTTCTTGTCTTGCCTTCTGGTGCTTTGGNGAGAGAGAGAGAGAGAGAGAGAGAGAGAGAGAGAGAGAGAGAGAGAGAGAGAGATGTTGAGGACTACTTTTACCTTCCTATCATCCCAGGAGGGAAAGAAAGCACATTAACATTTATACAAAGGATCATTTAGTTTAACTAAGCATGTATTCCTATATTTGAAAGACTGAGCACCCTTTGAAATTTGAAAATTCGCTGTTGAACACCTGATTTCCACAGCACTGTCATGCCTAGGGATATTTAGCTATGTAATAAGACTGTATTGCTAAGATCCTTCTCATTTGTTCCACTACCTTCTCTTATTGGTATCATTATTATGATTATTATTACTTTGTTTTTTGCATGTACACTGAGAGCTTCTGCACCAGAGACAAATTCCTTGTGTGACTAATCATACTTGGCCAAATAAAGTATTCTATTCTATTCTATTCTATTCTATTCTATTCTATTCTATTCTACTCTACTCTACTCTACTCTACTCTACTCTACTCTACTCTACTCTACTCTACTCTACTCTACTCTACTCTACTCTACTCTATTCTATTCTACTCTACTCTACTCTACTCTACTCTACTCTGTTCTACTCTACTCTACTCTACTCTACTCTACTCCATTCCATTCCACTCCACTCCACTCCACTCCACTCCCTTCTATATTGTCCTTATTCTCTGAATTCTTCTTTCTGTGATCAGTTTGTCAGAGCCTGAAGATTACCCATCCATCTTTGTCAATTTCAACCATAGTTTCACCTTCTCACCCTATTGGCTGACCTCTTCACTGTGCAGGTTAGTAATGTTGGCATGATAAGAACTGAGTGTGGAACTAAAGAGGGTATTGCAGTGTATTTCAAGGAAACCAGAAGTCCATTTTCAAGCTTAAGAAGACCACCTTTTTCATTCTTTGACCACATTTCATACCGGGGGAGGGGGCTGCTTCTGCATGCAGATGGTCAACGTCCTAGATTGTCAACGTCCTAGACTGTCAACGTCCTAGAGTTCCAACGTGCTTGGAACTCCTCACTCCCTTCCCCAAGGATTGCAGGGATTCCCTGCCTGAAACACCAACACCCCCAAACACACACACACACACACACATTTTCCTGCTCCTGATTCCCACGCTTTGCAAGGTGCTGGCAAATTCTTCCCGTGCAGGATTTCCCTTGTGTTGCTCTTGGCCTGCGTTGCTGCGCAACAGAGGCACCAATTGTTATTTCAGTCTCCGCTGTTTTCCTCTGTTTCCTTTTTCCTCAGCCAGGCTCCGGAGAAATAGTCTCCACAATCCTGCTGCTGCTACGGCTGTTTAGGAAATCAAAAGCTTTCTCTCCTCTCTCTTCTGTCCCTGTGTTCACCCAACATGCTGAACCGGGTTTTATCTTAACCAGTTTGGGGTGGGGGGGAGACATTGCATATGGCCTTGAATTGTAAGCTACCCCAGGGGACTGGGTTCATATAAGACACTACACACCCAGAAACCTGCCTCCAGATTCCCTAAATAAGCTCTAAAGCAGGGGTCTTCAAACTTGGCCCTTGGATGACTTGTGGACTTCAACTCCCAGAATTCCCCAGCCGGGTGGCCATCTTAAAGGTGCCAAGGTTGAAAAGCACAGCTTTAGAACGTTATGCAGATTCACTGCTGCCTCTTGAATGGACCTGCTTTCGTGGGTTGTGTGAACACAGCCTGTGTGAGGTGAGCCACTGTGAGCCACTGTGTGAGGTGAGCCACTCTTTCAATCAGGAGGCAGATGAAGTAAGCTTTGACTGTTCTTTCTTTCCAACTCCCCAATCAGCTGGGACTTGTTTTGGGTTGTTGTTTTTTTTTAAAAAAAACTCAGAATATTTTACGATAATTGCACAGCCTAGTAAAAGCCCTTTCTCCTCCTCTTCCCCAACTCATTTCCTCTAACTCCGCCCCCTTCTGTTAACTCATCCAAGGGTTGTTATAATAAACTTTCCACTTCTTTGCTCTTCATAACAGTCGCAGAGTGTCCTGAATTCCAGGAACGTTTGTTATATTCCCATCCTGCATCTGAGCTGGGCTGCAGCTTCTCTTTGGAAGCAGAGACGAAACCGAGAAAATTAAGCCAAAAACTTCTAATGAGGACTTTTAAGTCAGGAAAATCGCTTTGATTTGTTGGTGAGTACAACGGTCTTTACATTTTGTTAAATAGCCCTAAACTGGAAAGCCCTGGAGGTGGTGCTTTGATTTTTAGAATAATAGTAAATCTTGATTTTTCACATTGGTCTGCTTCAAAGTTATTCCCTCTTGGCATCACAGCCCTTATTCCGTTTTAAGATTTAAGGTAAAAGATTGACGGTATTTTCCTAATGTTTGACTTTCTCTACCAGACTGTCATATGTAGGATGTCCAAGGCATTCTGCCATCCTTTCCTACTTGCCTAAAGCAAGCCTGACTGTTTAATTTTCTCTAGACTCAATCAGAATAGAGCTGGAAGGGACCTTGGAGGTCTTCTATCTAGTCCAACCCCCTGCTCAAGCAGGATTCCCTATACCATTTTAGACAAGTGGCTGTCCAGTTTATTCTTAAAAGCCTCCAGTGATGGAGCACCCACAACTATTGACGGCCAGCTGTTCCACTGATTAATTGTCCTCACTGTTAGGAAGTTTCTCCTTAATTCCAGGTTGCTTCTCTCCTTGATTCATTTCCATCCATTGTTTCTTGTCTTGCCTTCTGGTGCTTTGG